CAGTGGCTCAAACGCAACGCCTCACCGCCCATTTTCGCGTCTCATGTTTCGTCGCTTGTTTATCGTTGCTGGGAAATACTTTTTTCAACTGTCGCTCGGCCGGATAATTCCGTCAAATACGCTCTGTCATTTAACCCTTTCATCCCTAGAACACTTTTGCGCAAGCTTTTCACTACCCTAAAGAATAATTTAGTAAAATTTAACGTAGTTTAGAGATGAATGTACTGAGAAAAAATGGTGTTGGGATGAAGTCTAAAAATAAATAAAGAGTTTTTATTTGCAATTCAGTTAATTCAGAATCCTGAATCAACAACCATACATATTAAAAAGAATATCGAACCTGACGTTGTTTGCAAGGTGGCTACAAACTGAGAACATCGGGAATATCGGGAATTTTCAGGGAATTTAATTATTTTTATAAACATTTGAAAGTTAAACTCTTTATGGATATTGACACACATTCAGTGGGTGTAGATAGTATTCGTACACCGATCAATTACACAACAAAATTTTGTGTGATATTGTAGTTTAGTTTATCAGTTTCTTTTTTTGTAATCAATGATATTCTACATATTCTCGGAAATCTCTAAAATAGATATATTCCAAACACCAATTACACTAATTTACAAAATAAAAAAAAATATGTACATTCAATGCCACAATTTTTTTCTTATGTATTGTGACCTGCTAAACTCGAAAATCGCAATGAAAAATTGTTCTATTAATAGATTTCTTTTATATGAATTTTTGAATTTTTTCGATTTTTTTCTGAGATACCTTTACATTTTAGACCATATCTCGGGTTAGAAACGTCCGATTGCGTCGCGTAAGATGTCATATTAAAGGTAATCGAATTTCCAATAATTGCTTTTAACACTGTTTTCTAAGCGGTTCAATACTTTAAGTGTTACAGGCCAACATATACGAGAAACTTCGATTTTTCGACTAAAATAGAACACAAAAATTTCTTCCATCGCCATGCAAAAATAGAAACTGTCAAATTATGTCCACGTATAGATCTTATTATTTACGTATAGATCGCACTTTTACGAAAAAAAACAAGCTTTTGTTGAAAGAAATCTATGCATAAATACCGAAATTAGGAAGAATTGAGCAAAGGTACAAAAATTCCAATTTTACTCTGTTTTCATATTTGTTGAAATATATATAATTTCTATGATATATGTATATGTGTAAACAAGTGTATGTGTGAGTGCGCACGCATTGTATGGTTCACTACCAAGAGAACGTCGCACCGTCGTAGTCTTACGTTCGGAAAGTGAACACACGTTCTATTCCACCATGTAATTTCTAAAGTTCAAATATAATGTGTTTAGTTTATAAGTTTCTATTAAAAGGTGTCTAATTGATTCGTTAATCCATGGGGCCCCCCCCCCCCCAATAATTAAGAGTATTTTTCTCCTATTTATATAGCAAACGTTTATTCAATTCACTTCGATTAGAAATACGATTAGAAATAATTTTGGCCTTTGCTTTGTCTTCTGTTCTTCTCTGAGTCCGCTTCTCTGACGAGGAACCACATGTAGTCTCCAAACATTCTTTGATCCCACATTCCTTGATAGCGCTGCTCAATAGTTTTGATATCTTGGTGAAACCTTTATTAAACAGTGTATTTGTATGTTAAAATCGATTTACTCCCTAAGAATATTCTTACGAGGAGTATTCTTAAGAGAAAATTTATTTTTTAAGTGTATTTTCTAAAAGTTTGGGGTTCTGGAAATATTTTCTAAAAATTTCGAATCAAAATTTTAAAAAATGACGAAGATCACTAAAAGGAAAGTAAATCGGAACTCGCGGCGCACAGCTGCTGCGACAAATACAATATTTAAACCCTTCTGTAGACATTTTCTAAACAATAATGTGACATTTGATCGATTCAGGTCGACAAAGCGAAATTACTGCTGGAGATGCTGCACCTGCTATTGAGGGTATCTTATATGACTCTGGAATAAATGATTAACGGTATAATATAAGTTTCTAGTTTTTTTTTTTTGAGACAATCAGCTCTCAAACTTTAAACATGTTCTTCTGAAAATGCAGTTATCGAGGTCGGTGAACATAAGAACTTGAAAATGGCTCGATCGATTTAATTCAAATATGCAGACGATATTCTTAAAAACTTCCAGGCCTTTCTGACGATCGCACATTATTTAATTTTTGTATTACTTGTTAATTAACAATAAAAAACAGATAAGAAATTTGATGAAGAAATCAAAAATCAACTTTCAGTAGTCACAGTTTTGCGAATAAATGTTTTTTAAAAATTTTAAATCGACAAAAAGAGCGTGTACTATAAGGCTTTAACAATACCTTTCGTTTTTTGTTTTAGAAGAATTCGAATCCAAAATATATTGCCCACCGCCAAGCGTATTTTGACGACACCCTCTACGCTAATGGTTGTCTCTCGTTCAATTTTAAGATTATTTAATTAAAAGCAAAAAAGATATATACCTGAATACATGTACTTTCTAGTGTGCACACACTTATTTCGAAGAAATAAATGGTTTCAGAAATAAACATTCTGAAAAATGACCTTAATTTTGGCCGTTTAGAATTACATGCCCCCTTAACCAGTCCCACAAGTCGCTATATTTTCATTAAACAGTGCTCGTGTGCATGTGTGTTTGATAAAAAACTATTGAAAGCATAATTTGCAGGAAAAACGGTTGCGTGCACACAGTAATTAAGGCGCCCATTAGTCGTTGTATTTTTCACGTATCTAGATATTGTTAAACGGTAACACAACCTGCAGATATCATGCACGAAAGTTCAAAGCGGCGACTCAATGGTTTCGCAAACGTTTGTAGATTTACAGAATCAAAAGACCAGGGCGAAACACATAGCAAGTGTGCATTTTGCAATGAAAATGGAAGGTCCTTTTTTTAAAAGTCTTTAATTTGTAGAATTGACATAGTGCCCGTTTGAAGTTGTCGCAAGGTTCCAGCATGTAAAAAAATATTATCCAACCTTTATAAGGTCATGTACGAAATATAATGTTCTTTAAGATTGAAAATCTTTTTATTTTCGAAGAGGCGAAATTCATGTCCCATTATATGGTGAAAAATGCTGCGAGGCGATGAAATGGCTGGGTAGTTCACAATAAATATGTCCCGTTAAATAGCTATTTTTGAGATATTTTTCTATATTTTAATCTCCATTGATTGGACAAACTAGATATTAATTTCTGACAATAGTTAAATTAATTAACAACAACACTTATTTTTTAAACAATAATGGGGAATATGATTTTGCTGTGATATTAATGTTTCACGAATTATTTTCTCGATGGATTCAACGAGCCTTCGAATCGACTGTCACGCGGTTGTTGTTCACCCTTCCCTTTCGCTACTTCGAGAGGCACAAGCGAGCCGCGACCCTCGACCGATACAGGTACGCAGTGCCGGTTTTAGCAATATTGGCGCCCTGGGCAAGATTATCATGACGCTCATTCAGAGGTTATAATTTTTAAGAAAAAAGGACAAGGTAATAATATCAAACGATGAATCTGTAGTTAGATTGTATAAAAACATTACGGCAAGTACATGAAAAAATGGAGGAGCCAAGGTGTTATCATTAAAAAATAGAAGATCTCCATAAAAAACTACAAAAAAGTAGAAAAAGATGTGAAAAAAAACAGATGAGCTGCCACAGATGATTTGCCTAGATTTCCGCGGCCTGGAAGTCTTAAAAATAATTCTTGTTCATCGACAGCTTGCCCTTGTCTGGCCACGCCAAACATTTGACTTCCAGGCCGCGGAAATCTAGGCAAATCATCTGGCAGCTCATTTGGTTTTTTCACATCTTTTTCTACTTCCTTGTAGTTTTTTTTATGGGGATCTTCTATTTTTCAATGATAACTCCTTGAGTTCTTCACTTTTTCATGTACTTGGCGTAATGTTTTTACTTTTTTGAAGTTTTTTATCGGATCTCACTTCTTTTTACAAGTCATTTATTATATAGAATCTATTTTAAATTTATAAAAATAAAATTAATATTTCTGTAAACTCTACATATATATTTCATATAATTTATTAATTATAAACTCTTATTCGTTTAATTTATAAATTATTATATATACCTGCAATTTTTTTTTGCTACAAGAAATGTTAGTGTTAATGATGTAATGAGAAAATGACTCCATTTCTACAAGCTCTACATTAAAAGTCTAAAGTAAAATCACTTTAGTGGTATGGATCTATTCTGTACGAATGAAGGCACCTGACAATTCAGATTTTGACAACTTACCTTGTAATGAAAATTGATCTACATTTTACTTTACTGCCAGCAATTTGTTAATCTCCAACCCTGTGGGCCCCCTTCATTTCCACAAGATCTATATAAAAAGCTTAAATTCAAAACACTTCGTTGATCAACATTTTACAACACTGGCTGCAATTTGTTAAAAACCCTACATAAAAAGTCTAAATTGAAAACATTTTGTTGATATAAATATAATTAATAATGCAATAGTGTAACAAGTTTTGATACTTGGCAGGTTGTGAATGATGACATCTGTTTGGACTCTCGACGCTCGATGGCCGACGAGCCATGCCGAACCGAATGATTCCGAGAGTCGACGAACGACACTCGGCTTTTACTTAGCTCCTATTGGCTAAGGCTCAAGGTTGACAACGGGAAAATCATACGAAAAATACCGTTTCTGGCAGATTCATGGCATGATATTACGACATCTCAGTTGTACGTGATCCGATTTCATTGATTTTGGTTTTATTCGAAAGCTTATATGCGGTTTACATCAGTAAACTGCCTTAAAATTTAAAAAATATTGCAGGCGTGTTGAGAGATTCATGAAAGAAGTTTTAGGTTAGGTTGGAATGGACCATCTCTCCTGTAAAAGATACGTGGTAGCTCCAACGCCAGGTATATATACGGGGTGACGGATAATTTTTCATGTACTTGGTGCCGAGAAAAATTGTTAAACTACATAGCGTAGAAGAAACAATGAGAAAATATCGGTATATTCAGGTACCAGGGACACCGGGCCGCGACGCACAGTGGTCCGGATGGCCAAAAACCTGGCCAAAATTAGACGAAGTTTTCGGATCTTCATGAAACTTGGTATTTAAGAGTCATTTGGGCTGGAAATTACGAATCTAGTATCAGAATTGCAAAATTCGAAATGGCAAATCCAATATGGTCGACATGCATATTAAAAATATTAAATTATTATGAATTTTGTATTGTTAAATTAAAATTAAAGATAATAAGGTTTATTTTAATGCCGCGTAAACAGTCTTCCTTTCCTTGTAAGCATGGCATAGGCGCGCGTAGAGTGATAAGAGATTAATGTTGACGCGTATTTAGTGGACTTTTGCAAATCTTTGCAAATTGTGTTTGGTATTAAAAGAAACTAGAGAGTCTCCACCTTACATACATTCGTGTCTCGCTGTGTGGACCGCCGTACTTTAACGAAGAACCCACTGCCAAACATTTTTCTCTCGGTTGTGAAGTCCATGCTCCTTATCAATAAGATGTTAATGCCGTTCGACTCGGTTTCGATACTCCAACATAAACGGTCGTTCTTTTTCACTTGATTCTTATGTATATTACGGCACAACATGCAAAACAATCTATAATTAGCTACCAGTGTCAGTTTCGTTTAAATAAATGGAAAAATAGATCTTTCAAAAGTAGGCTACATTAATCTAGCCACTTGTAATCGAAACTTTGACAAATTATAATCTTGGATCCATTATTAAGTAAAAACGTATTAGTGCTTTGCATACTTCTTTTTTCATTTTATATTAAGTTTTATACTAATATATTAACCTTTACAGAGCATATATCAACAAGTTATGCTGGTTGGACAGATTGTAAATACTCCTACTTGGCACTTTAAATTTAAATAACTTAAAATGGCGCAAATTTGCGCAAGTTTTCTCAATTGGATATCATACCTGACATGTTACTTTATATCAAGAAACTTGGCAGAGCGTGTCATTCGGTAACTATCATCTTTCTTTTCCTTCCGATTCATTGAAAGATAACTAAAATTTATCCCATATTGAGAAGGGAATTACAATAGTGAATCCAAAGATATTTTACTTTGCTCTCGTGTAAAGTTTATGTTTATAATATTTACTTTTATGGTAAAATGATTTACATATGAATCTATTGAGGATAATCTTTCTGTGTCGCAATAAACATGCGCCACTTTTCACGATATCAAGGAGCATGAAATGTCGTCAACTTTGAACCTCTGTATATCAGTAACCAATTACTATTTTTTTTATTTCAAACGGCATTTAATGCACTCATTTGTATACAACACACGCACAATATTGAAAAAAATGCGTTCGAAACTTCAAAAGTTGGATTTTGGCCAGGTTTTCGGTCATCCGGATCACTGTGAGACGACCCGTATGAAGCTGGCCCCACCTATATGAAAAACTCAAAATTTTCTTTTTTGCATACGTTTGCTCATCGTTTGCTCACGTTTGCTCAAGTAAAATTTTCGTTTGCTCCTCTTTAGTTCAAAAGATATACGCGATTCAAATTAGGTGGGGCTAGCTTCATACTTTGCAAAATTTTCAATCGCGTGTAGCTTTTGAACTAAAGATGGGCAAACGAAAATTCGAATTGATCATTCCTGAGCAAACGATGAGCAAACGTATGCAAAAAGAAAATTTTGAGTTTTTCATATAGGTGGGGCCAGCTTCACACGGGTAGCCCGAACGCCTCGAGCAGCCCGAGTGTTTCGAGCGGCCCGAGTGCTTCGAGTTGCTCGAGGAGGCCGAGAGTATCGGGAGGGCCCGACTGGCACGGCTGGCTCATAACTCGTTCGGACGAGTTCGTTCGAATATGTTATAAAAAATATATTCACATTCATACATTGTTAAAATATGATATAAATAGAAAGTCTATATACTCTTACTCATAAAAATACTCAGTCTTTACTGAATGTATGGTAGTAAAACTAACGTAACAATGTATGAATAAGAGTATATTTTTTTTAATAACTATTCATGTCTGAATGCGTAACTGAAATGGCGATATTAAACAAAATAGACATCTGTCGCCCAGTATAATACATTATCAAAATTATTCTGAAAGTTATGAGTAATCCAAATGTGTGCAATAAAATAAGTATGTTTCGAATGCAACTCATTCTAAATAAATTCATTTGAAATATTCATTTTGTATATTACGACTACGACGACGAACTAGTACGATCTCTTACGCACTCGTCCGAACGAGATAGACTTATTTATTGCTAATATCCATTTTTATTCATAAAACATTCATGAAAATAAAAAAAAAGATCAAGTAAAGATATCACCCTTGTGACGAGGAAGGTTCTTCTTCGTTTGATATTTTTTGGTATTTGTTTTTTGTGACGAAGTCATCGAAAGTTGTTTGTCTAGGCCTGTTTCGTTCAGCAAGCAGTTGTCGATACCAAGTCATCGCATCAATGACACTTCGTTTTGCCTTTGAAATTCTATCAAAAAATCATTTTGTATAAACAAAAAAAAAACTATTAAACACTACCACGTAATACTGCAACAGCGTTAAGCGGAGCAACGTTAAGCGGGGTCTTACTGTATCTAGTATCTAAAAACTCCGTATGCAGTCCACTCGATTATATGCATCATATCTTCTATCTATGACTAACAAAGCAACAGCTCTAAATCGCAAAAAATAAGGAATCTAACGCTCGACAGTCAGTCGAATCGACCTAGGGGAAGAGTTCGCAGAAGGGTGTAGGATGCGATCGTTGATCTCGGCAAGATTTCAGCGAACAATCGCGAAGGGACAACAGCTCCCGAGGAAGGAAACTGAGACCCTTTCATCACGAACAGGATGCACGTAATACTTTTCCGTGGTGTGTAGCCCAGCTGCCGTGACGAAGAAGAACGGAAGAACGTCAGGGGCGGAGGGACGCGGAAATCACGAGTAGGGGTTGAAAGGAGGGAAAATAGGTGGCGAGATTCCCGGGTAAAACTCGAGGAAGAGGAAGCGTAAGTGACTAGCCAAGCGAGACTTTTGTGTGTTATATTGTCTTGGGGTTCCTAGCCGCGTCAGGCGAGCAACCCCGAAGACGTTCCTTCTCTTTATCCGGGTGTCCGTTGCGATTCGACTTCGTCCGAGACGACTATTCACTTTCAGCGACTCGTGATCCCTCTGTAAAATAAAAAAAAAATGAGAGATCGCCGATGCGCCCGTTGCATGCGTCGTGTGGAATGATTAACGAGTGACGTCACGAGGCTGCCGACGTTAGGTAGCTGAAGGAACGAAAGGTGGATGGTCCGTCTTACGATCAAGGAAATAGGTAATTTAACGATGTCTAACGATGTTAGGTGGAAGATGCTGAATTTTTTTTTAAAGTTTCCTCATTGTTTCGTTGTCCTCAGGGATTAATTTTTTATTGATTATACATTAATATTAATATACATATATGTAGGAAGTCCGATTGTTAAAGACAAAGCCGACGGTCATTGCTCCTTTCCGATAAGAACATCTCGCGAACCAGCAACCAATGTTGATAGAAACAGCGTTGTCGAAATCGAAACAGGTGATCGACGAAATACGCGGCGCTTAAATACAACAAAGAGGACAATGACCGAGAGTGCGAGTGTGAGAGAGTGAAAACGACAGAGTGAGAGAGAACCGTGGAATATCTGTGTGTGATCATGCATGTAATCGACTGATCTATGTATATTGTTGAAATTGAAAATAAACAATTTAACAGTGGGCTTGAATTTAGCCAGTTGGCAACCCTGCATGAAGTCGTGCTTTCTCGACGCTCAAGCAGAAGGAGCTCCTTAAATAAGTATTCGAATAAAATGGGTTCAAGGGAAGTGTGCATCTCTCGTTTTAAGAACCTTATCCTTATTCTTCCTAAGCATCCGGCATTTTTTATATAAGGAAACCCAATAATTATAACATATATAAACAGAGGATTGAGTGAAAGTATTATTATTAAGAATCAAGGAGTTAAAGAGTTAAAGAGATTAAAAGCGTTTAAAGAGTGTAAAGAGTGAATAGTAGAGAGTGTACGAGAAGACTAGTTGTTAGAGTCTAATTGTTTTAGTTCATAATAAACTAATTAAACTAACCAAGTCTCGACCGCTTAAATTAATCCTACACATATTAATAATTCATTAATTCATAAAAAATAGAAATGTTCGATAACTCGATGGTAAACTTGCTATTTTATATCAATCTTAACAACAGTAGGCTTCATTAAAACTTTATAGGTCCTTGGCCATTGTAAATTATTTCAAAGCACGTCGATTCAAAACTGTGCCTTCAAACGTATCAAGAGGCCATGACATTAAAATAAAATGTATGTTTAAACATTTTTTATACCAGTTCTGTCATTTTCTATGTATCTTCTATAAGCTATACCATAAACTCTTAGAAAATATTTTTCATCTTCCTATTAGACTAGAGAAAACAGATTGATTCACTGAGAATAATAGAGGTAGAGCAACAGTTGGATCATTTTACAGAGTCAATGGAATTAAAATAGAGTGTATTTTCAAGAATCGTTTACACGAATCCTATACATTAGACCTCCAGGGTCAGTAGCTACAGTACGAATTTAGCAATCCCGATGTACCCGAGCTATAAAAGGGCCAGTGGACCCCGACAGACTACAATCATCTAATGAAAATGTCAGAGAGTTATGAAGAGAGTAGTAATGTAAAGCGAGATTTAAATGAGTGTAAAGAACGAAGAAATGCGAGACTGGTGTTATAGCCAAGTTACACGACTTCGCACCCTTATAAATAAAACTCACTCATTTCCCCATTGTTCTCGTTGACATGCTCTGAATTGATTTGTGGAGCAAAAACCCTCGGGGACAGCGCGTATTTTAATCGACACCATCCAGCTGTTCATTTTCAGATAGAAATACGGAAATTATCAACCCTCCCCGGACGTCTAGATAACCTAGACGAAAATTACTTTTAATGATACTCATGAGTGTCGGAAAATTTTGTGAAATCCTGTTACGTGAATAAAAAAAAAATTGTTGAAGAATGTTTTGTTTTTGCATATATCAGTAGATTGAAATTCTCTGGACGAAGAGACTTGGAATACGTAGGTGATTTGTGTGGAATTATACTTACTATTCAACGTCGTTTTACCAAAAAGATACATCAAATTGGAAGTTTCTGTGAGAAAGCAATGTATGTATACAGGGTGTCCCAAAAATGTTGTAACACCTTGAAAGGGGTGGTTTAGGAGGTGATTTGAAACAACTTTTTCCTTAGCGAAAATGTTGTCCGAGGTTTCGTTAAGGAGATATTAAGCGAAAACCCCAATCAATCAGAGCGTGAGTATACCGGTTGAGCGTAGGTTACGCGATAGGCGGCCGCGCTCATACGCTACCGCGAGTGTTTTCCATCGGCATCCTCGCGCTCTGATTGGTCAGTGTTTTCCGTTAATATCTCCTTAACAAAGTCTCGTACAACATTTTCGCTAAGGAAAAAGTTGTTTCAAATCACCTCCCGAACCACCCCTTTCAAGGTGTTACAACATTTTTGGGACACCCTGTATATGTTCCATTTGAATTGGCCGTCGAGATCCGTGTCATTCGCATCTTTTGTCTTCTTTCCGTGCTCGAGGCGCGATCTCGCGACGTTTTTTAAGTTAGTCCGCATCTCAAGCTGTTTCGGGAAACATGTACATACAATATATGTAATACATTTTATATTACATTAAATATTCTTATTTTAACATACATTGTTTTATAACCCTGTTAGTTTCAAAATATCGAGAAATTTATGGAATTTTAACAAGAAACCTTTTTTTGAATAGCATTTGATTCCTTTAAAAATATATCTGTAGACTTTTGTACGATGTATTGTTAGCTAGTTATGAAAATCAGAAGAGCAAAAAAAAAATATTTCCTACGCTATTCTTATGAAAAATTGAAAAGTGCGATGCGAAATCTTTTAATGTTAATATTAAGAGTTCAAATTTTAACAGGCGTATTCTTATACCCGAATGAAATTTTTTGACCCTGTTTGGGAAAAAATAAAAATTTTTTGTTTTTTTTTTTTTTTGTTTTTTTTTAAACCCCCTAATGTAGATCCCCCATTTCCTGTGTCCAACGTCACTTCATCTAGGGTTTACGTAAAGTTGGAAGTTTCAAAAGCTCAAACAAATTTTTTTTTTCATAAATGAGCAGATTGAAGTTCTATAAGCGAATATTTCTGGAATACTTAGGTACTTTGCATGGAATTATAATGGTTCTCCAACGTCCTCTATATAACCCTCCAATCCCCTGTGTTCACCGTTGTTTTATTAAGGAGTTACATTGACTTGAAAGTTTAGAAATTGTTACATCCGGCACTGCCGGTGTCCCTTTTCATCGAACGCTTATTGCGAATAGTTAAGATCAATAGACTTTAAGGAATGCGCTCGGTAAACGATGCGGAAATCGTTCCTCGGGAACGAAATAATGCAAACCGCGAGTCAGCAAACGGGCGTCAGCGATGTTAGGCCGTTGCATACGAATCGGCCATCGAACTTGCGACATGTCCCAGATTCGGAAATGTAGAAATTAAGATTTCGAAATTACGATCGTGCCTTGCGAGGATCTGGGGGTATATAAACCCGTGGCCACGACCACGGATGCTCTTTCGCTCTTACGGCTCTTACGGCTTTCGGCTTCTTTTTGTATATTCTGTAGTCGCGGACAGGTTAATCTCTCGCGTTAGTCTCATTTAGGTATCGTGTATCGTATCTCCAGCTGAATAAAGAGTTCGCGTAAGTGAGAACATACGCACTAAAGATAGAGTCATCGCGGAGTTACCTACGAAAGTCCGACGTTTATTATTCGCCAATTATTAGAGTCCCGTGTCGCGAGTGTACAACCAGACCAGATCCTCGCCACAACCGAGCCCGGGACAACCTGACAACGCCGCCGATAGCATAAGATCAACGATTGGTATTGTTAAACCATTTTCAATTGTATAATTTTGATTCTTGTTTGTAAGTAATCCCAAACTCAGTTTTGTTTCATAATTATATTTGTTAATACTCAAAATTAGTGACAATTATTATAGAATCCCAAAATTCCTTCTTTTCCAATTAAATACAGATAAGGTGAGCTTTAGCTCTTTAATCGAAGACAAGAATCCCTAAAGAAAGTCCCAAACTAGTTGAGACGTAACAAAATTGGTGTCAGAAGTGGGATGTAACAAAATCTCAAACAAAGTTCTTTTTAACCGTCTTTGAAAAGGAGAAGGGTACTCAATTCAACATATATATTGTTTTTTTTTATAAATATGTTTGTTTGCCGATTACGTCAAGATGATTTGACCAATCGGAACGAAACCTCTTGCATCGTGTAGAGCACGTTTCCCCGGTGGTCACATTGTCAAGACATTGTGCAATTTGTCCTTTTTTTACTCAATTTTTTTGCAAAAAACCGAAACATTTTGTACTGTTTTTTTTTCTGAGTCGATCGACCAATCGGATTGAAACTTGTTGCATCTGGTAAAACATCATTGCTACTTGGTCTTATGAAAAAGCATTTGGCCTTGTGTCGAACGTCTCTTTATCAAGGGAATACATTACATTGAAAATTTCAAAATGACGAAGAATTTTTTTGTACATAAAACAGTAGATTCAAGTTCTTTAGATAAATGTCCACCATTTAAGTCCTCCGTCCTTCGTGCCCAACGTTGCTTATAAATGGGTTACATCAAATTGAAAGTTTTAAAATAACAAAGCAATTTTTTTTAAATGATCAATAGGTTGAATCCTTACAAGAGCCAGTTCGTTTTAAATCGATATCCAGATTTTGCAAGGATAATATTTAAGCGTGAATAGGATGAATTATCGTGTCGCGGAGCACACGTGGCACTTGGCAGGAACAGTAGATTTTTATGGTTGCACGTTATAGCTTCTGTAATTCGATATTATAAAGGAAAGACTCTTCGTCCAGAAGTGATCTCATCGTGTTGCATAAAATGTGAATCTCAAGGGAATAAAGAGTGTTTAAAGAAAACCTGTAAGGGAAATTGCTTGCCAACCTTGTGGTTAGTGTTTTCTATGAATTAATAATTGAGAATCCTTGATGTGGCCAGGAAAAGAGAAACGTCATGCAACGAAATTTATTATTATTTTTTGATAGGGTTAAAATTAGATTTGCCATACACTCGTTAAAATGGGTTTGTTCTATGCTTTTCAGCTTACAATATATGTTGTATAAAAAATGGATGTAATTAATTTAGCAATTTTTATTGAATATTTCAGTTAAATGGGTTGTAATGAACGAATTTTAAAAAATGCAATAATTTTAGGATTAATATTATTTGTTTTAGGGCTTGATGATGGGGTACAGAATTCAATTCAATTTATATCTAACTTTAATAAAATTCACAAAATGAAGCGAATAATTTTATATATGTTATAATTTTAATAATTTTAGAATAAATTCCATTTATTCTAAAGGTGAGTATGGGCTATAGGATTCAATCCAATTTATATCTAACTTCAAAAGAAATTCACAAAACAAAGCGAATGTGTATTAGTTCATTTCCGAGATAAATATGTATGAAGGATGATCCACATAAAGTGTTACAAGCTATTGTAGCGGAAACTATTAGTGATATTATCGACAATTTTTTTTTTTTTGTATTATAGGGTACGATAATGTAATGAAATCCCTTTTATGTGATGAATGGAGTATTGCTAAATGGCCTTCAGGGGGGCAGGGGGGCATAATGACTTATATTTTTAAATACAATTTCTATTTCTCATTTTGAAGACATATTTTCTACTACCTACAGCTTAAAAAATTGCAGAAAAAAAATCAATATATTCCCTTACCTAGTCACACAAGGTCCAACTAGGAGTTCGTCAACCTCTCACCCTTTCGCTCTACGCCTAAATAAATATTCGCAGTAAAAATTCGTGACCTTTTCCGAGCCGACATTAGAATATTTTCCCAATTACTTCAGGTCCTCCGAGTTCATTTTAAATTCCATCTCGTATCGGGATTACTTATTTTGGTAGGGGTGGGGAAAGGGCACTTTTAGTAGCCATCGTTAATGCAGCCCCAGAGGGTCTTACCCTGAGAGGTATGAGTAATCTTTATCGCCTTATCCGTGGCAGTCAGTATCTTATCTGCTTACTTTTCCAAGGAGATTATGCAAAAGTTCCTATGCACCGAATGAAAAATAGTCCGCTCGGATTAGGGCCCCGTGCGAAAAGCATACTACTTTTCTTAAATTGCTGTACCGTCTCCCGTGTGATCCGTTCACGTTTGTCTCATTTATTCATGTCCCTCTCAACCCTCCGCAAATATTGCTTCAGCGACGGGAATAACGCTCACTTTCATGACGGGCCCCGCGATAATAACGAAAAGATGCGGCAGCAATGATAATATTTACCCTTGTGTCGGTTGTGACGTTAATCGTTGCATTTTTTAACGCGACAGACCGGAAACTAGAGCAGTGGCCGTCAACCTTGTGGAAGCTCCTCGTCAGGAGCTCCTGTACGAAGCTGAACATTTTTGGAAAGGTATATGTTGGAGGGTGGGAGCTAAGTATTTTCAGAATTAGGACATTGATACATTATTAAGGATCGAGGTATTCCTGAATGATTACAAGTTTATCGTTGGAGCATTTTAAGATTAATGTGTTTTAAAACTGAAGCTTTTTAGGACTGATGAATTTTACAATTGAGACATTTTAGGAATCAAGCACTTTACAATTGAAATATTTTTAAAATATAAGATAATTGTTTTTGAAGTAATTCAAGTTTGATTTGATTTCAGATTGTCGTATTTATAATGTCGTAAAATATTTTTTAATTAAAGTTTAAAATGGGTCAATTCAAATTAAAGTATTTTATTATTAGAGCAGTTTGGCATTGAAATTATTCAAGCAAATATATGACAGAATGTAAAACTGAAGATATATTGTCAGAAATATAAACAAGTATATTGACTTAAAATATATTATACTAAATAAACATATATATTGTAAATGTATGTACAAATACATTACTATATAAATATCTTGAATTCCATTATAACATATTATAGTATTATATTTATAAATACACATATACAAATGTATACCAATATATTTATATATTATATTATATATTTATATATTATTTATATATAATATATAAATATAGTAAACTCTATTATAACGTATTATAATAGAGATCAAACACGCCCGTCGAAATATTCCATATTTAAGAGCCAGGTTGACGATCACTGTGTCCGAAGGAATATTCCACAAACAATTTCATTTCAGCGTATGAAAAATTTAACGAATTCAGAACTTGTCGCGAGATTAAATATTGAAGTTGGAGTTAGAGTTCGTTGGGTTTCACTCTCCGAAGAGAATGGGAGGAATCCGTCGTGGAAGAAGATTTAAGCAAGCGAAGAAACGAGAAATATCGCTTACAAAGCCGAGGGAACCTTTTACTTGAGCAGGCCTTGTCGCCAATTAGGGGAGTGTTGCCAAAATTGCAGTACTTAAGGTATTTTGTCTTCTATGTCCTGCTTGATAACAGTTTGCACTAATTAATTTTAAAAGTTGTTACTATTTCTTTGAAGACCAAGTGGCTTCATATCATCATCTTTAGCGATAACCTAACTTTGTAGTGTAGCTTTGTAGTTTTATCTTGAAAAATGAAGAAGTTTTAGAGTGTAACTATGTAACTTTGTAATTTAACGATAAAGTAGCTTTGAAGTGTAACTTTGCTTAGAATGATAAAATAGTTTTGAAATATAGCCTTGTCGTTCTGTCTTTAAAGATGAAATATTTTTGAAGTGTAGCTTTCCAATCCTTTCATTATAGACGATGTAGCTTCAAAGTATAATTTTCTAGCTTCATTGTAAAAAATTATGTAGCTTTGAAGCCCCTCGTTGTCTTTAAAAATGAAGTAGCTTTAGAATGTAACCTTTGAAATTCACCATTAAAGATAAAGTACCTTTGCAGCTTTATCCTCAAACAACTAAAACCAATTGTACCTATTATCACCTGCTGAATCATTCACTAACGACGTATTAATTCTTCAGAATTTTTGAGAGACTCCAATGCAAGAAGTTCAATTCGATCAACAGGTTCTCCAATCCCAAATTACACTTCCACTGGAAAGAGCTTAGAGGCTCAGACTGCGTCCAGGTAAAAATAATACATGACGATGTCGAACAAGCTTCTCTAATTGTAAGTAATATTCGTAAAGTCATCGGAAATTATAGCGGTGAAATAAGACGTGGTTTTCCTCGTCTCGAGTAAAACTGGTATAAAAAGTGACACGCACGAGACTTAAATGGTTGATACGGCACAGCGATGCACAAACAAGCACGAGCTTTCTTTGCGTGCGACACGAATGTCTGGTTTGTTCTCAGATTTGCACAGTGAGTGTGCATAAATCTGCAGCAACTCGAGCTCATGTAACGACGGAAAATCGTGCACGAATAGTCGCGAAAGTTTCGATTTTTCCTTTCATGTCGTTTTACGAGAATCGATAGACAGAAAAAGTAAGACAGCATATATTTGGTTGGACATTTTCTTAAATACCTCGTTAAATTATATCATTGGGTGTAGAAATTAATTCTGTTCCTTCCTAAAGTAAACTAACTGTATCTTTTAAAGAGAACTTTTATTTATGTATAATGAAAACACACAACTATTAATCTTCCCGCAGTTACATATTCCAAGAGAGCACATGTAGTTGTAAAAACAAAATGGCAAGTATATGTATATTACTATTTAAAAAATATTATCTATTTTAAATTTATTTTAGAAAGTACAGAATTAATGGTTTAATAATAATATTTCTAATCTTTCATTAATTACTTAAGGTTAAATAACGTCTAAGTATTAACACTTTACCGACCATTAACGATTGAATACGTATACATACTTTTAAAATTGTTGAAAAATCTTCATATTGAAAGATTAATGATGTACAATTAATAATGAACTTGAATAAGGAACAATTATTATATAATATTGTTTAAAGTTGAATACAATAATGAAAGAAAAAACTGCCGAAATAAAAATTAACTGAGCGCTCTCTATTCACGTATGTTTGCACAGACCATATGTCGTCGACTAACTACAGTCAACTGTAGTCAAATCATATATCGTCTTCCTCGTTACCGTTGAAAGTCCGTCACCTTTAATGTTGTCGTACAGCGCCGGCGATCTGTTCCTTTGCTGTTTACGTATTCACACGGATAGCACTCATACACATTTTCTTTTATTTATTTTCGCATTATAGAATGCTAATATATCTATTTTCAACACATACATAATTAATTTCAATAATATTTTTTATTTTCATAACAATTTTTATTTCTATATGTATTGAAAATCGTGAATATACGGTATTATCTGTGCAATATGAATATCTGGTACAATTTAATGATTTGTACATCTTCTATCAATTCCGAAATTTGAAATGAGATGTGTATATTACTCAAATTTAACAGTTTCAATTCCTAGTATAATTTGCAAGACGCGTGCGACATGCGTACCATGTTCAAATCGAATTCTTGAATTATTATGTTAACCCGTAAGAATTGAATTTTCACTTTTATCTGATAAATCATCTAAAAACATTATTATTTGTACAACATGGTTATTTGGTACAATTATAGTAACTTGTATAACGAATGAATTCGATAATATTTTTTATATCGACAACATTAGTATGATTCAATCTTAATTTTATCCATTAGAATAGTTTCTCGATTAATATTTAAATAATATTTTATAATTCGTATAATGATTAAAGCATTAAATGTTATGTCAATAACAGATAACAAAGTATTTGTTGTCGTAAAAATCTTATTAATAGGCTAACTAACAGGAATTAAGTCCTGGTTTTGGATTTGAGACACGAGCTTCCTAAATAGAAAAGAACCATCGACGTTTACCAAGACGACATTTCGTGAAGTAAAATGGTGAAATTTCGGGGTCAAGATGGACGAGTTTCCTGTCTCCTTAGCGGGCATTACACGACAATATACTCGAGCCACGCGATGCCTCGCGTCCCACGTCTGGAACTTTTAATGCAATAAAAGAAAAGTTCGTCGGTGGTAAAGTTAAGGCCCTCTTCAATAAAACTCGAGTAAGAGCCTGCGGCGGAACGTTTCCCACCATTTTCTCGTTAAGTTTCCATTTTAATCAGACGTTGAAATTAGTATCAACTTGCAGCGTTCCACTGGGCTTCGAAAGTCACATGGTTAATCTCGAATACAAAATTTTACATGAATCAATCTAAAGATTTAATAAAGATTTACATTATTTTAAGATTCAATATTAATTTCCCACCATGTGGATTTCTGATGTAAGGCGATCGAGTCATTAAAGTAAAAACGCGTTAAAATGATGGAAGGTGTGAGAAAAGTTGGAGAAGTTCATTGATTGAAAAACTTGCCGCGGTTATTAAGTGTCAAAGTGCTTGTCAATTACCGAGTTTTCTCAAACGAGTTGCAGAATTGCTTTTAAAAAGTGAAGCGAGTATGTTCGTTATTGAAAGCTTACTATGTGTCCAGAGATAGTTATTAGTATTTATGCTTTGATCCCTTATGAAATTTCAACGTGTTTAAGTAGGGTAATGTACTATTTTCTGACAAAAAATAAAAGCAGAGGGGAACAATATGTGATAATCGACAAAGGGATGTTATATTCAAACGTTTAGACTCACGACCGATCTCCAAACATCCCGGTGTCTAAAACACGGACCTGCTAGGTACTTACAAGGAAACATATCCAACTGTCACGCGCCGATTTTTATAAAATTTATGTGGTAGGTAGTTCTCAAGAAAATATTTGACACGTATTTTTTTTTTATCGGCAATCGTCTATATTGAAGCACGGGTACTATGCACAGGTACATATTCAAGGCTGACCATCCTTAGGCGGACAGTAGAACAGTGAGTAGTGGAGCCGACTATCACGCTGAGAAGCCCGGGTTCGAATCCAGGCTGGTCCGCCCAGTTTTTCAAGGCATGGGCTTCCTTGTAATACGAAAGTATTGAACAAGTGGTATGAGAACAAAGGGAAATGAACAATGAGATACCCTTGTAATACGAAAGTATTGAACAAGTGGTATGAGAACAAAGGGAAATGAACAATGAGATTAATGAGACAATGAGATGGGAAAAAGAGTTTCTTCCTGTAAGGAAAAGTGCAAGAATACTCGGTGAAAATAACAGTTATTTTTTGGAAGTGTCCTGTTGAATACCCGCGTGAACCAAACGCTTCCCACGTAGCTTTAAGAGGAACATATCCAACTGTCACACGCCGATGTTTATAAAATTTATGTGGTAGGTAGTTTTCAAAAAAATATTTGACACTTATTTTTTTTTTTATCGGCAATCGTCCATATTAAAGGGGTGAAAACAGCCCCTAAAATTGGGGTGAAAACCATGTTTTTTTAAATATCTTAAACACTAGAAAACCTAGAACAAATTTTTTTTTAAAATATGCGCTTTTGAATGGGTACTTTACTCATGTTAGAAGAAATTGTTTATTTATTTATTTAAATAACTCATTTGTGAAAAAATACATTTTTTGCTAATTTATATTACTAAATATTGTTTCTCATTCATGAAATTGTATATGTATATGTAAACTACAGGTTAAAATTAAGGATACATATTTTTAGAAATTTTGATTTTCACCATATAACAATAATTAAATTAAACGGAGACTTCCTTCAAGATATGTAAAAAAACATGGTTTCGACCCTAACTTTAGGGGCTGATTTCACCCCTTTTTATAATTTAATACATAAATTTTATAAACATCGGCGTGTGACAGTTGGATATGTTTCCCTGTTAGCTTTATTACGGACGAGTCCTCTAGCAGGCCTAGTACGAAACGCTCCCTTCCTTTTCTCCCCTCTCTCGCTCTCCTTTTACAGCAACCGCCACGATAGATTATCATTTTCATGAGAAAAGGTAATATTACTACTTTCATTAACCTTGTGTCGGTCATTGCTATACAATGTAACATGTAATTTACGTGTGAATAGTTCGCACAACACTCGATAGTTCCACAAGTAGTAATTTGAAGATTTCTTGAAGAAATTCCATTCATCTTCCATGCTAATGCAGAACATAGAACTGCATCATGTAGAAATAGAATTAACGTATGAATATTTTTGTATCGTAGTATTTTAGGGACGGAGAAATTTAAAATTGAAGCATTTTAAGATGTGACGGAACCTGGGGTGGGCGACTGGGAAAGCCGCTATTCGACACGCTAGGTGGCACAAATCCCACGGACGAGATTTATTTATTCCTAAAGGAATCTGGACGCCAGTGCAAAAGCACGCGACCGTTATCTTCGCCTACGGAGAGCGGGCTCAGAGGAGGTCAGGAAGAGAAAGAAAATAAGGGAAACTCTGATTCACGAAAGTAATTGAGGCTTTATTTAGCCGAAAACAAAAAGAAGGGGGGGGGGGAATTCCGCGGTACACTCACACCGGATCGGACAAGGGTGTGGCGACTACGCGCCGAAGGGAAACGCGACACGGAATTCCCAATACAATTCCGAAAATTTGGTGTTACTTAATCCTACGGGGCCTCGCAAACAGGGAGTCCGCTCTAGAAGAAAATACAACCAAAAAAAAAGAAACGCCGTGAATTAACGGTCTCGCGTTTCGAAGGGACCCTTTCCACGCGGAAGATACGCGAAACGAACGGAGGGAACTCCTAGGGTTCTCGCCTCCGGGGGTGGTCCTGTCGCGGACGAAAAGTGCTCCGGAGCACACTCACGGACACGCACTCCTCGGTTTGGAGACCTCGGGTCTCCAAAATCCTTGGTTGGATGCCCTGAGTGTATCCTTCCAAAATGGGGTACAGTTCCACCACACACGCTCGAAATCAAAACCCCGAATCTCTGCAACTCAATCAGGGAGCTCGCTCGCACGTGTTCGTCGCGATTCGCGTTTCAACCGTTAATCCCCCAAAACTCGCGCTCTTCTCGTCGCCGGCTCGTGGCTCTCCCCACCCAGGAGCTTTAAGGGGCTCCTTACGATGTGCCACCACCATGGCATCTCCAGACGTCGGTGTCGTTCTCCCGTGGCAGCTGCGGGGCGAGGGCAGGGGTTGACCGTCTGTCGAGGGTGACAAGTCCTCTGGGTGGTGGTCACACCGGGGTCCCTGAGTGAAGGACATCACGACCGGCGGCTTGCCGCGCTCGCGAGCGGACGCGGCGCTGATCGTGAGCGCGAGGGGGTGCAAAAAGGGAGTCTCTATTGGGCCGCGGGCCACAGATCCCTCCATACGGTCGCGGACCACCTCCGCGGCGTGTTCGGCGAGGAGGGAGCGAGGACCTTCCGGGGTCAGGGGTGCTTTCGTGACGGGCAGAAAAGTTCTGCCCCGTCACAAAGACTAAAGCATTTTAAGATTCAAGTGGCTCAGAATTGAACTATTTCAAGATCGAAGTCTTTTTTATTTATAGGATTGTAAGATTCAAGAAATTAAAAATTGAAGCATTTTCAGACTAAAGCATTTTAGGATTGAAATATTTCTTAAAATCAATACATTTGGCAATAAACTATTTTGGCCTCAGTATGTTCCAGGATTGAACCATTTTAGGAATGTAACATTTTTAAACGTATCTACTTCTAAATTAAACCATTTCTTGCATCAAACCATTTTGACATCAAAATTGTTCAACTACAAACATGGTACAAAGACAAAGATATGTAATCCAAGAACAATAAACCTGTTTGAACATTTCCTTGGGGAGCAAACGCCGCTGCACTCAGATCCACGCAGAACGAAGGAGGGTTTTGATTTTATCGAGCTTTTTCGCCTTCCATTCCCGTCTTAAGCGTGCCAACGACTGGTATGCATTTTCCAAGATATTTTCTTCCCTATCCAGATGCCCTATTCTTCATTCCACGGTTTTTCCTGTTTCCATTACGAACCGGAAAAAGTCGACCGTAATTGCGAGAAGGCCTTCGAGTGTTTTTCTTTGTCCTGCTTCTCTGCATACCTGGGGATTGCTTTCTTTTCCAGATGAAACAAGTTTCCAGCGCTTTGCGCACCTGTCGGTCGCATTAGTGCGTTGGCCCGTCTTTGCTGGAAACTGTTTTATCGATTAGTGCTTAACGCGCTATTAAGGGGGTATTCTAGTCTAGAGCGTTAACTTTTAGTGCTTTTTAACCTACTTCGAAAAGCAGGAGAGGTTACTCAATTCGACGTGTATATCTGCTTTTTATTTC